TGTTATCTTACTTCACCCCATTTCCTACACAAGCCAATAGACAAGAGATAAGATATCAGCTTGTCCTCCACGTTCTTCCCTTTAGTCACCACTTAGACTAAATGTCAGATCAAGTAGGTAAATAGAATCCAACTCAGCCACCTCCCACTTACACCAGAAAATGGAGAGTGATATCTTTGAAATAAGATAACCAACTAGCTATGAGTGCTCTCCCAACTTATCCAGCACGTAGTCAACATTCAATTAACTCAGAAGTGACCCACAAAGCTTCTGAAATCATGTGGAAAGCGATAGCCATCGAAAACACAGTTGAAAACACGTAAGGAAACGTCACAGCACGACTGGAGCGACCGGTCGTCAGGAATGGGCGACCGGTCGCCAGAAGTTTTCCCTCCAGACTTTGAATCTGCTTCTAAGCGACCGGTCGCAAATGTCAAGCGACCGGTCGCTCGTGTTCCTGCGACCGGTCGCAAAGAACTAGCGACCGGTCGCTCCTTGGTTTAGCTCCAGACCTCGAATCTGCCAGAAAACGACCGGTCGCAACTTCCCAGCGACCGGTCGCTTTTAGGCAGTTTCAAATACTCCCTTTGAGCGCCAAAACCTTTGTATCCTTTAGGTGAGCCATTTTTTCCAACAACACACTCACACAATCTTTCCATCCAAGCCATCAAGTGGCTTGGTGGTGGCACGCCTACGCATCTCAAGAGAAGAAGGACCAAAAACTCCTTCCGTCGGCCTACCCGGCCGAAAAGAGGGAAACACCTGGCAACATCCTATGCCTGGTATTTTTAAGCTTAACACTGATGGGAGTCGAAAGTCTGTGTTGGTGTTTGGATTAAAGGCTTCTCTGTGAATTTTGGTGTGGGTTCTACAATTGAGGCTGAATTATGGGGTGTCTTTTGGGGCCTCCGTTTGGCTCGGGATTATGGGTGCCGAAACATTGAGGCTGAATGTGATGCTAGCGATGTGGTTTCCCTCCTCTCTTGCCCAACTGCTCTCACTCATACCCTCCTTTAGTCTTATTAATTGTTGCAAGCTGAAGATGCAAGAAAACTGGACTTGTTCCCTGAGGCATGTCTTTCGTGAACAAAACTGTGTTGCTGACGTTCTTGCTAAAATGAGCCATGAGCTGGACCCTGGTTTTCATTGTCTTGATGTTCCCCCTCCCGATGTCTATGACACCCTTTATGCTGATTCTAGCAATTTGGCTAGGACTAGAATTCTCTCTCGGTAGTTTGCTTTGTTGCTTGGACTAGAATTATCTTTCTGTAGTTTGCTCTGTACCAAAAACAAAGTTCATATTTTGATATATAAAAATAAAAAATAAAAATAAAAAAAAGAAAGCCCAAAACTAAAAGCCCCTTCTTCTTCTCTCTCTCCTCTCTCCTCTCCTCTCCTCTCCTCTGCTGCTTCATGCAATTGAACTCAGTCCAAATTTCTCACCAATTTAATGCCTCAAATTCAGACCCTAATCTCCATCGCATTGGCAAGTGCAAAATCCTAACTCCACCAATCATCAGCAGCAATGGAGCAGCTGAAGACCATGGGGCGAGAGCTTGCGATGGTCTCAAGGCGGCTTCGGCCAATTCAAGGAGTTCCTGGACCTCGTCAAGTCCATCGGCGAAGCTCGATCCAAGGCCGAAGAAGAGCGCATCTTACCCCTCGAGATCGAAACCCTAAAACGATGTCTCTCCGAGCCCGAAATCCCCAAGTGCAAGATGAAGGAGTACATCATCCGCCTCATCTACGTCGAAATGCTCGGCAACGATGGCTCCTTCGCCTACATCCACGCCGTCAAGATGACCCATGACGACAATCTCTTGCTCAAATGCACCGGTTACCTCGCCGTTTCGCTCTTCCTCAGCGACGATCACGATTTGATCATCTTGATCGTCAACACCATCCAGAAGGATCTCAAGTCGGACAATTACCTTGTCGCTTGCGCTGCTCTCAATGCCGTTTGCAAGCTCATCAACGACGAGACTGTGCCTGCCGTTTTGCCCCAGGTCGTGGACCTGCTTGCCCATCCCAAGGAGGCTGTCAGGAAGAAGGCCATCATGGCGCTTCACCGCTTTTATCAGAATAGCCGTCTTCGGTTTCGCATCTGGTCTCGAATTTCCAGAAGCGGCTTTGTGATAACGATCGGGAGTTATGGGTGCCACGGTCTGCCCCTTGTTCGATCCCATTACCATCGATGTGAATTCCTATAAGGATTTGGTGATCAGCTTTGTCAGCATTCTCAAAGAGGTCGCCGAGCGCAGGTTGCCCAAGACCTACGATTACCATTAGTTGCCGGCGCCATCTATTCAGGTTTTACTTACTTTCATTGAAGTTGAGCTTATTCATGTGGGAAGTTTTTGGCATGAGAGTAATATGGGAAATATTGTACTTTATGAGTGTATTTGTTGCGTTTCTGCCATATATCCAATTCCTAAGTTGTTAGAACAGTAGTCTGCATGTAGATTATTTGGAGAGTTAAACACCAATTCCTTGTTATATTTGGTGGACAGAGTGACAGTCATAATTTGAAATATATGGGCATCGATGCCCTTGGTCGACTAATAAAGATTAGTCCAGAGATAGCAGAGCAATAAATATATGGGCACTGATTGCTTAGAGGTGAGAGAATTCTGTTGGGTTTGATGGATTGGTTTCAAATCATGCTTAAAATTTTTAATTTAGATGAAGTTTGATGTGCATGATGCAGGACCCAGATGATATTCTGAAGCGAAAAACATTTTAACTATTGTACAAGATGACCAAGTCCTCCAATGTGGAAGTGATTTTGGATCGTGTGATTGATATTGATTAGCATTAATGATAACAATTACAAAACATATATAGCTTCTTGATGCGTGGAGCATGCAGAGCAATTTGCACCAAGTAATCAATGGTTTATCCAGGTAAGAGTAATACATATAGATGGAGTATTTTGTTATTGCTTATTAAACAGCCGATGTCATCCATGCCTGACATTGAACAAAGTGTTTGAACATGCGGGAGATTTGGTAAATGTCAAGGTGGCACATAACTTGATGAAGTTGATTGCTGAGGGATTTGGAGAGGATGATGATTCTGCAGATAGTCAGTTGAGATCATCTGCAGTATGTAACTTTAATTTTACACCTTATGTTAATAAATGGTTTATTCAATGTCATTAAAAAGGTGCTATTTTAGTATGGTAAAGAAAAGTTATAGCATGCCCCCCCTAAATTTTGTGTAATTTCAAAGGTTACTGTAGAACTTTTGGTCAATGTCTCCCATAAATATTTAGACTCCTCAAATAGTCTCATCCATTAACTTAGACCATCAACAATTGATGGGAAAATCATGGACGCATCGTGTTAGGAGGATGAGTTTTCAGGTCAAAGAATTTGACACATAACTTACATGTGCCACGTGTTCTAGTTAGTTATAAAATTATGTAAGTTACTCTGAAACTATTTGATGCATATAACGTTTGAGACCTCAGAGGTGGATTTTTCCTCGAGATTTAGTTTACCTCATTGGGAATTGAAGCATTACTCTATGTTCGTTATTTGTGATGAAAAACATTTTGGGGTTGCAAAAATTGCTAAGGGTTTTCGTTCTTTTTGCCATTGAGTTCAACAGCCCCTGATAAATTGAGCAGAGAAGATATAGTGCTGCGTTCACCTTTTTATAGTACTGCTATTAGTGTAACATTTGAGGATTATATGCTAGTAGTATGTTTACAACATTTTGTGCATTGCTTGCTTCTGCTTAAACCATTTCCTTGCTTTCCATGTTTCGACATGTTAGAGAATTAAACTTCTTTATGTGCAGGTGGAGTCATATTTGCGTATAATTGGTGAGACAAAGCTTCCATCTGTATTTCTTCAGGTACATTCTGTCCTCTCAGTTCTTTTCTTCATGTAGAAATTTTGGGAAGAATATTCCTAGCAGAGGCATATTCAAATGATGAATCCGTCAAGGTACCCCTCAAACTCAGTTTTGGAGGAATAGGCGTATTCAAATATCACTGGGAAGTTTGTAATTTTTTAGACTTTGATTGGAAGGAATTTTCCATGCTTCTTAAATTTGGTAATGAGGTCAGGGAATAATTGTTTAAGATGCATATAAGGGCAGTCTCATTTACTTTCCCAATTTTCGTTATTTCAATGACCTCATGTAGAACCACTACTACAATAATATAAAACAACGATACATGACGCAAAATGAAAAAATCGTTGTGGTTTACAAAACCATTACAAACCATGACTGGTGTTATAATAACCGTCGGTGTGGAGTCCGAAACCCTTAGTTGATTTTAATAGCACTACGGTTGAAAGAAGTCACCGTCATCTTTCAAATTAGTTTATTTTAATAGCACGACGGTTGAAAGAAGTCATGGCAATGTGGGCAGTTTTGCCGCGCTCCACGGAGACATGGTTCTGCCGTGCATATTTGTCTACATTTACACTGCTGTGTACCACTCTCTTGTTATAATATTGTTGTATGAAGTGAATTTTCGTTTTTGATGTAGGGACATTTATTCCTCAGTCATAAGTTTTGTGTGGAATGAAAGCATTAGATAAATCCGGCTTGCAAACAGTTTTTTTTCATCCTCTCATAAATCCTGGATGCATCAATTGAGAAGAAATGTATTGCCTTATGCAACTTAAAATCTCAGAAACTGCTGGCCCCTCAACACACCTCTTGATTATCATACCATTATTCGGAAATTTCGTTCGTTTGAACAGCTAAACTTGGGGCTCACATAAACCACTTTAGAAATTCATTGCCTGAAAATTTAATATCGAATGTAGAGCGCTAAGAAAAAGGATTTAACCCAAAACAAAAAGAAAAAAAAATTCACACCCTGAAAACTACAACATGTACCCCAGAGATGCACAGCAAAATATTGGTAAATTTGAATTGAACACAAAACGCAGATATATGAGCAGAAAATGCAAAGATATCATTCAACATTTAATGGATTTACATACTCACCAATGTCGAGGGCGTTAGCACAATGATCAAGCCATTGAGTAACATGATCATCGTTGTCGAGGGCGTTAGCACAATGATCATCGTCAAGTGCCATGAAATCTGATTCGCAAGGCCTCTTGCCAAGACTAGTCTTTGATGCTAAAGACAAGGAAGTCGATTCGTAGTCTTTGTGTTGATCATCATTCGCCTCAGGCAACAACCGCTGATAAAAATCTTCAGTCACACTGACATCAGCAACCTGGTGGCCTAATAGGTGGACCCCGCAGGGAATTTTAACGATTGCGGGCACTCTGCCATACACAGACAAGAGAAAGTCAACTTTACACATACTACCCGGTTTCAGTGGTTGACTTAAATTTAAATGGAACCAATCCAATAATGGAATACACGCGAGCCGCACATGACCTTCCTTTATCTCGTAACTATACTCTCTCTCGCGAAGAGATATCTCATTGACGCGTTGTCCATTGAGACTAATCGTGAAAGAAATATCTGAAATAGATACCTTCGCAACAACACATAGAACCAATCTTAACGTCTCCCATTTTAAATTTTGAGGAATTTCAAAACTAACTTTACATCTAGCCTCGTATTCCTCTTCGTATTCCTCTTCCTCCTCTCTAACTTCACATCCACCATGGTATTCCTCTTTATGGTATTCCTCTTTCTCCTCTTTAACTAGTGTTGCATCTTCACGACAGCTGAACCACTTTGGAACTTCATCGCCTGGAAGATTAATGTCGTAACAAAAACGCGGATTCAGAAAAATATTTTCTGTGATGTCGTAATAGCCGCGAGTCTAACGCAATTGGTCAAACTCAGATACATACTGACATCCTCCGGTGGGTCATCCTCCGACGGGCCATCATCCGGTGGAAGTTCTGGAATTTTCTCCAATGATGTGTAGTTATCCAGCAATACCCAAGACACTTCTGGAATTTTTTCCAATGATGTGCAGTTATCCAGCCGTACGGATTCTACTCTTCGTGGAAGCACTTGTTCTGGAACTTCTAAAAGACTCTTGCAATCACTCAAGTCAAGATCCCTCAAGTTGACAAATTTGCTAAAGCCTCTCGGAAGATTGACAAAATTGTTTCCCGATAGATCAAGTTTTGTTAATGTGTACCAGCAAACAAGAGGCAGGACGAAATCACTTTTTGATAGATTGCATCCTCTGAGTGTAAATGAATATAGCTCAGGAAGCAGCGGTAATTCGAAGTTGCTGGATGAAGTTACTAATTCTTGAAGACCAGTAAGATATGCAATTGATGAAGGCAATTCTCTTATGCCACTTCCTGATATGTCCAAAGTCTCTAGTGATTCCGTCTTCTCCTCTATTTCTGGGAAACTCTCAAGACTTTCGCAATTAGAAAGGGAAAGTCTTTTCAGGGAGTTCAATCTAAGTCTTGTTGCAAACCTCGTAAGGTTAACGCATCCATCAAGATTCAATATAACAAGTTTAGGCATATTCTGTGAGACAAAAACATAAAATAGGAAATTATCAAATCGCACCCTTAAAATAACAACTTCAGGTTTTAATTTTAGTTTTTTTTTTTTCTTTTTTGCTAGATAGGAAAATGAGAGTGAGAATGAAAGGGAGGATGAGAGGGAGGAGTAACAAAAGTAAAAACAAAAACTTGAAAGTAATTCCATCTTCTTCACCTCTAGTTCTGGGATACTCTCAAGCCTTTTACAACCACCAAGGTAAAGTTGTTCCAGGGAGTTCAATCTATGTCTTGTTGCAAACCTCGTAAGCTTAATGCATCCATCAAGTTCCAAAGTAACAAGTTTATCAAGGAGTCCAATAGAATCATCAATTTCAACCAAACTTGTACACCGACTTAGATTCAAGTGCTCTATGTTTGGGATTCCGGATAAGTCAGGAATTTTTGCTAAGAATTGACAACCACTTAAATTCATAGATGTCAGCATTGGCATATTCTGTGACACAAAAACATAAAATCACACCCTTTAAAAAACAACTTCAGATTTTTTTTCTTCTAAGAATTGACAACCACTTAAATTCATAAATCTCAGCTTTGGCAAATGCTGTGAGTCAAAAAACAAATTAGGAAATGATCAATCACTGGTTTCAAAAGATTTTTGTTTCTTTTTTCCTTCTGAATTATGAACTCTAATATGAAATAATAAAAGATGAAAATAATTTCAAATACATACCTTAAATCTCTCCAATTTTCTGATTTGACTGCATCCTTTGAGACAAAATTTAGATAGGTTGGGACACAGCTGTAATTCGGAATCCTCAGCTTCCAATACGTCAAGCCCAGTAAGATATGTAATAGATGAAGGCAATTCTCTTATGCCACTTCTTGATATGTACAAACTCCGTAGTGATTCTATCTCCACCTCTATTTCTGGGAAACTCTCAAGCCTTTTGCAATCAATTAGATAAAGTGTTTTTAAGGATTTCAATCTAAGTCTTGTTGCAAACCTCGTAAGCCTAACACATCCTCGAAGATTCAATTCAACCAGTTTATCAAGGCGTCCAACAGAATCATCAACCTCAACCAAACTTGTACACCGACATAGATCCAAGTACTTTATGTTTGGGATTCCAGATAAGTCAGGAATTTTTTCTAAGAATTGACAACCACGTAAATTCATAGATGTCAGCTTTGACATATTCTGTGACACAAAAACATAAAATAGGAAATTATCAAATCACACCTTAAAAAAACAACTTCAGATTTTTTTTTTCTTCCTGAAAATAAGAACTCTATTTGAAATAATAATAAATAAGTAATTAATTTAAATTGTTACCTTCAATTTCTCCAATCTTCTAATACTACCGCCAGGCATATTGAACACAGTAAGATGTACTGGATCAAACTCAGATGGCAAAGATTGTAACTGATATCCCTTCCAATCAATCCATCTTAACGCGTTGGGCAGATAGTTAATGTGCCCACATAGAGATGCATTATGGTTTATGAAAATTTGAAGATTTACCATATTACGGAAGCATTCTGGATTCAAGGTTATCTCAGCTGGTTCTGGAAACTTCACCATTATGCCTTTAATATTTCTTGTTCCCTAAGATGGAAAAGCATTAATTAGGAAACGAAATCATTGTACAAACCAAAATGCAAGCACATTTTGATAAGAAAATTATAGGTTACATAAGGTATTCTTTCTTGTCAAATTGAATATAACAAAATATATTATACTTACAGTATTTTCCGTTAGAACTTGCTTGACATCCTCATAAAACCACAATCTACTACGCTGGCCAGGATCATTGGGAGATTCTTTGCGAACTATATCCTTGCCCAGGTTTGCTAGCAAGTCGTGCATTAAAATCCTTTTATCCCATTCAACAGTTATCATTGCCTTATCAACGAGTACTTCAATGCAATTTTTGGGGACTATTTGTAGCACATAGTCCTTAATTCCACCCTTGAAGAAACATGCAATGTCGAGAAAAACTTCTTTTGCGTAATCATCCAAGGCATCATAACTCTTTTGAAGTATTCTTTCAATATGTGTATAAGGTTCTCCTTTGAAACCATCTAATATACCTTGCCAAAATGTTTTATCTCTATTACGAAGATGAGAACCTAAAATTGTTAGAGCTAGTGGAAGGCCATTAGCAAAAGCTATTGCACGTTGTGCGAGTTCCAAATAATCTTTTGGAGGTTCATTTATTCCGAAGGCATTCAAACTGAAAAGCTCAAGAGCTTGGTAGTCACGTAACTTTTGGACCTCGTATATCAACTTAATTCCATGACATTTTAGCAATCCGCTATCTTGTGTAGTTATGAGGACTCTACTACCCTCACCAAACCAACCAACTCCAGCCAAGTTGTCTAATTGCTCCAACTGATTCACATCATCAAGAATTAAGAGAATCTTTTTATGCCTCAATAGATTATGTATAATAGAGATACCTTTATCAGCACTGGCAATTTTCAACTTTTTACCACCAAGAATCTCTTGAAGGAGAGTCTTCTGTAGCTGGATTAAGCTTCCTTCTCTAACATTTGGCAAGAAACAACTTCCTTCAAACTTATAAGCAACTGCATTGCAAATAGCTTTTGCAATTGTTGTCTTGCCTATTCCAGATGTCCCCCATATCCCAACCATGTGACGACCATTCCCACCAACATCCAAAAGCATTTCCACATCTTGTACATGAGACTGAATTCCAACTGCGTACTTGGGCACATTCAAATATGTGCGGCTCAATACTTGGCTTAAGATTCCATCAACGATGTTGTTGATAAATGCAGTTTCATACCTGCCAGCTTAACCTAATTAGACACATTTAATGAATCAGATTTAAACATCCAACCATGCAAAAGAACACAACATACTGAAGTACGTAATAGTTCTTTTGACCAAAAAAGAAAACAAAAGATGTAATAATAGTTGTTTAACCACAAAGCTAATGTTATGTATCATTTATACTTGTATGCCTTTTGAAGAGATCAATATATGGATCATTTTGAACTTTCTCCTTACAACTATCGAAAATACAAAAGTACACAAGAAAATAAATCATCTCCCTACTGTTGTATATTTTACAAAAGAATACTTTTCTTTAATGAGTAACAATCAAATGTAACCAAAGTCAAAAAGAAAAAGAAATTAAGTTAACTTGAAAAAGATAGATAACCCTGAAATATAGAATCAAGACACTAAATTAAACATAATGCCCTACAACTATCGAAAATATAAAAATACAAAAAATTTAAAAAAAGATCTTCTCCCTACAATTTAATATTTTTACAAAAGGATACTTTTCTTTAATAATGAGTAACAATTAAATGTGTAACAAATAGTAATGAGAAAGAAGAGAGAAAAAAATTAAACTTGAAAATGATAAAGATAGAAACATACTCTCCCTCCTTCAAATGCCATCCGGACAAATTTGCGGCTTCCGTAAGAGCTCTCCTCCATTTGAGCACTTTCTCCTTGTCATCCTTGAATTTGCGTTCATGGTGAACAAATGCATCACCATAACTACTTCTTTGGTGTCGTACATCTGACGGATCCACCTTGTAAAAAAAGGGCAAAACTATTTGTTGCTTTGATTGTTTACATTGAAGGATCTTGACAAGTTCATCCAAGCACCACCTCGAAGATGCATAGTTTTCAGAGAATACAATGAGAGAAATTCTTGATTCTTCAATTGCTTTGACAAGAGCTGACGATATTTCTTCTCCTTTTACAAGCTCTCGATCAATGAAGGTGTGGATCTTTTTATCAGACAAAGCCTTGTACAAATGATCTGTAAAATTGGTGCGTGTATCCTCACCTCTAAAACTCAAAAACACATCATATGTGCATGACGAATTATGAGTGAAAGAAGAAAAAGAAGAAGGAGAAGAAGAGACTGGTTGAGTGGTCATAGATAGGAGGCAAATAATTAAAGGTAAAGAGAAGCTCAAAGAATTGGGTATGGCAGTGGCGCTCTGGTTAGATTTATGAGGGCTTGACGAAGCAGTTTCCTACCACCTTCCATGTGGAGGAGCTTTCGTTTCAACTTCAAGTCATCAAACGCTTAATTTTCTTTTTCATACTGACGCGGTCTTTAATCTGGTGAAGCATCTATTGGTGAGAGGCACTACCTTTCTTTACCTTTTCTTTGCTGAATAAATTGCTTTCAGATAGTGCACATGGCCGACATTGATATTTCTTTTTCTTTTTTCACTGACGCGCTTTCTTTCAAATGATGGTCTTTCTATCCAAAGATTTTGTTTTTTGGTCTGAAAATAAAAAACTGAAACAAGTTTTATGGTTTGTTTTTTTCTTAAACTGGTCTAATACCAGCAATGTTGACGACTATCTCTATGGTATTTAGTTATAGTCAGTTGAAGCAGTTTCTTTGTAGTGCGAAGGTATCTACAATTTGTTGAAGTAATGGGTAAGGAACCTTCAAGGCAACTTCTCGTCTTTTTTTCCTAGATGCGAAGGTACCTACTTTTTGGCTAAGGTACCTCTTCACTATTATTAAGGCTGGTTTGTATCTCTTTTCTCTTAGTACATGGTATCTTCGATGGAAAATGTATTCTCTCTCACAATGGGGCTCTATGTCCGCGACTTTATATTTGAGGCTCAAAATTTTTTATGTTGTAATTTACTTTACGTGTTAATGTTCTTTTTTATTCTTTTATTGAGTTATTTACACTAACACTTATTGAGCTTTTTGGCCATTTCAAAACTCCCTGCAGTTTTAGAAATTACACAAACACCCCTCAAAATTTTAAATTGTTTTCACAAAACTCATTTTTATTAATTTTTGGGTTAATTTCAATTTAATACCATGAACTCTCACCCTTAAAGCATGTTTATCCTTGCACTCTCATTTTTAACAATCATGTACCCTAATCTTTTTTATTTTTTGCAATTTGATTTCGACAGTCAAAATTTCCCTTAATTGTCTACGTGGCATGCATGGGTCCCACCTTTTCACTGCTTTCAATGTCATGTGGGTTCTGACCCATGATGAGAGGGTGCATGTGCTTCATTTGGACCTTCATATGTGTTTTCTTAATTGTTTATCTCAGCAACAGAAGGAACCATATTATCTTAACAACATTAACACGTTCTTTTTCATCTTCATTTTCAAACCCCAAGTGGGAACTCACTTTTCCTAGCCCGCTTCCACCTTCAAGGGTACGAACCTTCAAGGTAACTTCTTATTTTTAACAGTCACTCGCTTTCTTTCACTACATGATAAATAGGTATTTTGTTCAAGATTTTGAATCTCTGCATAATAATCATGCATTTACTTGCATTTTGTTACATTTAACCCTTGCCTTGACCTCTGCTTTCCTGATAAAGATAAGAAACCAAAAGTGTCGGAGTTTGTGAAAACTTGAGAAAATGTATATTTATATTGTCATAGACTAGTTGGAACTCTTTCTTTTGTTTACCAGCCCTCACCATATATATTAATATTATCAAGATTTGTGAGGTTAAAATTTTCTATAAAGATATTGTAATCTCAATGGGGTCTTCTATGTCTCCCTATCCCTTTTTCCCATTGATTTGAATGGTATTTTTTTATACGTCAACGCAGTTTCTGTCTTATGCTACGTACCTACACTACAGTGTGAATGTGTTGAAGTAAATGGTAAGGAACATTCAAGGAAACTTCTCTTGGACGGTGATACCTACTCGGACAGTTGGTGTCAATTGCCCCCCATTGACACTTTTCTTTTACTTACAAAACTAGATTGTACCTTTGCCGCACCATGTTTGTCTAAAGCATCTTCACCTGGTAGATCACCCTGTGGAGTATTTTCATACAATCAAAACCAAAAGGGCCATAAGTACCAAATCAAGTAGAAATTTTAGTGCCTTTGCTACAATATATGCTATAACAAGAAACACATTCAAAGCAAAGGCATATCAATGTCTTTAAGTAGTGCTTAATTACGGTGATGAAAGTCTTCTAACGCATGTGAGAGCCATAATAGTAAAGGGTAAGGAAAAGAACCTTCAACGTTGTCTTTGATAGTGATACTTCCTTCCTGAAGCGCAAAAGCTTTCTTTCATCAGTTCATGATGATGCTTTTTTCTTTTTGACTAACATCTCTTCACAATTGTTTAGCCTTCATTGACTGAATTCACCTCATCAAGAGAAATTTCCTTTGCACCTTGAGTCGGTAACTTTTTGTCTTTGACGGTAACACGCTTTTTGCTACATGATAAATAGGTACATTATGAAAAAGTAGGTACTCAGAAAAAATAAAATTATATATATATATATAGGGAGGTGTCTTTGTAAGAGAGAAATAGGTACATTCCCGATCTCTTGGACCCCAGGAGTCCAAGAGATTGTGGTCATCCAATGGTTCAAAATTTTTTTTTAAAAGAAGTGCAAGAGTGAGTGAACCGTTGAATTTATATCCAACGGTGAGTGACCATAAATCTGTTGGACCCCTGTAGTCCAAGAGATCAGGACTGTATTCCTATATTATAACTTCGTTTTCAAGACACAAGTCAACTGCTTTTCTTTTCATGTATCCATTTTTTTCAGAAAAAAAGAAAACAAAAACCACCTTGCCAAGAAAATGATTTGAAAATTCACATGACAATATACACATTGAATCCACACAACGGAAAAATGTTGAAAGAATTTTTTGCAAGGGCCCTTATGATTAAAAAAATGACAGAAAATTAGCTTTGCGTTTGGATAGTCTACATGAGGTTTGGTGATGAAGAAATTTCATTGCAACTGCAAGTGATCAAATGGTGATATTTACTCTACCTTTCAAGATGCCTTGCCTTTTCTTTTCTTTTGGGGTGCATTTTTGCTCACCACCTTAATCCTAGTGTACCCTCACCACCCCTTCCAAAAGTTGGCACATGTCCATGGGTTTAACTATAGTTAATTCTTTATTTTTTATTTATTTGATGACACTATTATGAGGGAGAAACAATACTTTAATAAGATTGTTCCTGATTTACCCTTATTCTAACCTAGCAAACTTTCCACTTTTCTAAATTAATTAACAACAACCCAAATAAATAATTGGCAATTGGCCTTATGTCTCGCGCTTTAATATGAATCTCAATTCACAGGCTTCAATACTTTGAAGAACACGCCCAAATACTTTGAATCTCAATTGGCTTTAAGTAGCTCCTTTTATCCACGCCCAAAAGTTATACTGCTCTTCAATTCCAGGCTTCCTCCATTTGTTCAAATGAAAGATAGGCAACATCTATGCTGCTTTTTTTTTGCCAACAAATAATGTGAAAGGACAGAGGAAGTTACAAGGGAATTGTCTCAAATAATCACTTTTGCAAACCCTTATTCTCATATAATCACTTTACAAATTTTAATAAAAATTCACAGGATCCCAACTGATCCCAGTAATACTGTTCACCCGTTTTGATTTGTTTCCTGAGATGACAGGGCAAAGTTCCCCATTAATTCAAAGACCATGTCTTGGTCAGTAAATTAACTTTCTTTATGTGTTAAGCGTGCCACTGTTAGCAATTTTTCAACCCTAACAGACTTATAGTAAAAATAACTTGCACCCCAAGTTACTTTGAACAAACGATTGTGAATTTGGGTGAGGAATATCTCCCAAGTAAGTTCTTTTTTATGCCTTAGACTGGTAAGGACTTTTACAATTTATCTCAGTGTAAAAACCGATAGTTCTGGCCAGAATAACTGACAACAGATTGAACTAATTTCAGGCAGAACTCCCCTTTACAAGACTCAAAAAGGGAAAACTGACTGTATAAAGACAAAAAGAGGGCTGCGCTTCCATTTCTGCCTGGTTAGTTGCCTCCGTTCTGGGCTGGACTGGGTGTGTCTGTGCTGGACTGGACTTTAAACAGCTTCATCTGTTAGGCTTCGGCTGCAAATCGATACCAAAGCTTGAGTTTGGCAGAGCTTTAATCTATTTCAAACCCTGGACGGCTTTTGGATGGGCAGAAATGGGACTTCTCCAGTTTGAAAGAGGCAGAAGTGGCTGGACTTGAGCTGGGGATATACTGTAGTACCTGTGCTGCTTAGTCAGGGCTCTTCACAAATTTGTTGAGGTTTTCGTATTTGAGAAAACTTGAACTCTGCTTAGCTTGGCTTTTGCTGAACCAAATTTTTAACGAGAGAAATCTCGTTATTGTTGACTAGTGAACTGGGATTCAAACCAGAGGTAGCGATCTAAACTGTCTTTGCTGGGAGAAAACAGGATGATTCTGCAAGCTTGTTGGAAAGCTTTTGAATATTTCAGGCGCGAAGTCTGTTGGAACTTGTTTAGGATTTTTGTGATCAAGTGATCATTTGAGTGTTTGTCTTTTGACTGAGTTTTTGGTTGGTTGATTGATTGTCTTTCTTCTGTTCACCCCCTCTTGTATATATATGAGATGTTCTTCTGGAGTGGGCGGCAAGTAATCAAAAGATCTTTCTAGTTTTTAATTGAAGCAAAACAGGGGTTCCATCCATTTCCTGGCAAATAAGCACTCAACGATCAGTTCTTGAGGTGACTGCTTTCTGTATTTTGATGGGGTGCCATGCTTGCTCTTCCATTCCACCTGCTTCTGCAAGAGTCTGGAGTTTGGAGATGGCTGGCTCTCAGCTTTTGGACAGCTCCCTGTTTCCCGCTTATCTCCTTTTATAAAACCAGAGTCTGCTTATCCTCGAAAATGGCATTCCTCCAAAATATCAGAATATCCTTAGATAAACTAAGCGGATTCTAATCTCCTGGCAACAAGCTACTTCAGATTTTTTCTTCTTTTATACCTGCTCCTGTTCTATTTTCAGTTTTCAGCCGAAATTATTGACTCCTCCAAGTCAGGGATCACGTGGGACTGTTCCGTTTTGAAGGCCAGCTTGAGTCTAGTTTGCTTTTGAGCCTAATTTTGGATTTCTTCGAGGCCCAAGTTTTTTCTGATTCCTATTGTTCCCAAGCCTCTTAATGTTTTGGGCCGCGTTTATTTGTTTTGATCCGTTCAATTGTTAACGGGCCGGATCGCGTTGATGGGCTCAGAGCTTTGGAACAGTCGGCTTGGGAATGTCGTGGGCTTTCTTCTTTAGGCCTGGGTGCGCCAAATTTAAGTCCAAACAATGCCCCCATTAAGTTTGAACCGTTTAAAACGACGGTTTCCAAACTTAATGTTTTTTCGGCTATTTAATTTGTGCGCGCCGAAATAAAACGTCCCCTGTCTGCCACGTCTGTCTACCATGAACTAGACTTCGTGGGAAATTGGTCAGTTACTAGCTTGTCTCGTCAGGTGGCGT